TGCGAGATGATCATATACAAGACGTACATCCTCCCTGGTTTGACATGAACCAGATTGACGTGGATGTGTTCATACTGTCATTCGGTATTGATTCATGATGGACAACGTTTTCTTAAATTCAAACCCAGTGATCTAAACTGTTGGCAAAGGTGTAATGCCAATATTGATACAAAATATATAACTAAGTAATGCAGTTAAATATACAATTTAATTGTGGACATGAGCCAAATATTTTTTTTTTTGTTCACAAAAAAAATTAGCAAACATAGAATATAAGTCAGAGAGGGGCCTATCTACATTCCCAGACTAAAAAAAGTTTAGGGAAGATTTGTTTATCACTCCCAGCATTACCGCATACTCGTAATCTCGAGCCATGGAACTTACGATGACACTTAACTATCAATGGTCATTGGTATAGATTTATGTAGTGAAATCGCACCTTCATGGAGCAACGCACAAGACAAAGACTTCACCAACTCAATCAACCCCTTTTGGCGAGTTAAGTGCTAGATCCCTTTTCGAGTTAAACATAGTTTATTTTTGCATGTATTGTACAAAATAACCTTATACTGTTACACACTGTTGTGGTTCATACGGAACAGCCTCCCTATATATACTCTATGGGCAACGGGTGCAATAAGGAGACTGTAAATTGATTTAATTAACCAAATCATTAACTGCCTTCTATAACGAGGTCGGTCCTGAAGGTGATTCACACATGAACAGTCCACCGTGCTGGAAAATTATCTATCCACTAATAACTGAGACTGAAATTAAGTATCTCAACCTATATATTCGAATTATTGGTACCTAATTAATTAATAGTTTGCAAAACTTGCTGAGCATGAACTGGTTACTTTCCCGATGGATTCCCTTGGCTAAACCCCCAAGGTTTCTTCGTCAGACTAACGGTTTGTTTGCCGCCCTTCGTCCTTGCCTCATTTCTTTCGGTGTTCTAGGATATCCCATGTTTGGAAAAACCAAGAAGGGCACGTATAATCTTGAACGGAACATGCCCAATATGTATTAAAGTTAATTACATTGGGAAGGAAGAAGTTGTACCTTATCTGTGCCTATTTTCAGCTGGGTAATATTTGCATCCATCGCAATGGTGTACCTCATTGTACATCTAATTTTGATTGACATATCTCACTTGTAGAAATGCCATAATTCAAATCGTTAATTTCCTTAAAAACATTTAAAGATGTGTGAGCACAAAATCAAACAAACTGACGGCCATAATTTATTCATATGTATTAAAATGATCTGTTCATCATGAAATGTTAATTGTTTCTGGACACGTTTGTTTGCTCAGATTTGCTAAAAATGATACTTAAATAACGATTAAGAAATGAAATATTTTGATTATGACATTTGTGCAGTTAAATTAAGAATAATATACTTGCATCCACCTCTTGGGCACACCTTGTGCATCTAAATGTGAATTACATATTTTAACCATAATTAATGTATAATCATCATTAAAAATTATTTATGCAAAAAAGTTAATCAAATTATTGATTGTCTAGTCTCTATAAATTCAAACAAATGGACGGTTGTTCTTGCAAATTAATGTTATTTGTTGCACAAGCCCTTGATTTATTCTATACATTAAACAAAACCTAATGGATTGCCAAATTGATTGTTTATTTTTTGTAAGGAGATCTTTGAAAGGAAAACTAATGAAAATGATTTGAAAACTTTAAGTTTTAACGATAATGACAAAATAAAGAGTAAAGTGAATAGTACCAGGATTGACATTTTAGTATAAAAATATAATTTTCCGTTAAAGTAAAAAGTACTAAAACTTTTCATTAAAATTCCCATCTTTAAATGATTTCGATAACAACTGATGTTCTTTTTTATTATAAAATATGTACAATAAATTACATCAATTACTATTGAGCGAACAAGAAAGTAGGACAATAGATAATTGATAGACACAACTATTTTGTTTAAAGTGAAGTATTCACACACGTGTGAACAAAGAGATGTACTGATTTTTAAGTCAGAGCAAATACTTGTAAATAATGAATTAAGTTAAAGATATGCAATAAATGAAGGAGAGCATTTGGGTTCGTGGAAATTTAACCTTCTTTCCTTGTCTTCTCTTCTGACTAAAACACAAACAACTTTAAGTCTCCATCTTACAACCAAACAGAACCTAACAAAAGGTCTAATAACAAACCCTTTCAAAAAGAACATATAAAAAACCCTAACCATGAGACAAGTCCATGTGACCATTAAAATCCTTGGTTTTCAAACCCTAACTCATCACACTAATAAATTTGAAACTGCAAATATGGAAAAATTTGCCAGCAAGAAGCCATAAAAAAAATAGCAAAAACCAAAGTAGGAGGAACAACTTCTGAGCGCCGCCAGTGTAATCATTCAGAATGTTAATCACAGTGGACAGGGAAGGAAGGAGGGAAAGAACTCTTGTTCTCGGGACAACTTGCAAAAATCAGTTTCACAGTTATTAAGACACGAAAATGACATGAACACGACAGACACGTATAATTTGTAAGGCTTAATTAGTTATCTCTTGCCCTTTTCTTTTTTTTTTTTATTTGAATAGTTACGGTTTAGTTATATCAACATCTTATGTTGATTTTTTTATGAAAATAATAAGACAGAAAGTAACATATGAGAAAAAATAAGAGAAGAAGATGAAAATAAGAAGGAATAGAATCTTACTCCTATAATAAAACCACTTCGTATATGTTTATCCTTCTCGTAATTCGTTTCGATTAGTTTATTAAAAAACTAAAAAGCTGGCAGCCGCGACCTGCATATACTTGTCCAAAACTCCAGGCCCTTTCGTGGTTCCATTGGGAACCGAATCCCTTCCGAACCCAATAAATCTGAGTTTACAGATTAAATGATTCAAACTGTTGAAATTTGATTTAACAGTTACAATTATTATAGTTTTTAAAAAATTCCCTGTTTGTAACCGTTGAATCAAATTTCAACGATCTAGATCATTTGATCTTTAAGCTCAGATTTATTGAGTCCGGAGACGATACGGGGCCGTTCCATTGCCTCTTGGATGGAGACGTGTGGATGTTTATAACCATTTTCAGAAATGTTGTTTCGTTTGGTTTTTTGTTTTTTCCTTTGTTTTAGTAGTGTTTCCAGTTTTTTAATTGAAAAATAAAAAATTGGAGGTTGAAAAGAAACCTCTAATTTACTCCAATAGCATTAAATCTGCAATCTACATCAGTCATATTCTTACTTCCACTTTATATTTACTGGCAAAGAAATATATAATAATTCTTACTTCCACTCCTTCCACTTTTCTTCTCTGCTCTTCGAAATTGCCGAAAGATAATATCCTTTCCCAGTTGTTGCTCTCGGGTTAAGATTCTATTCCTTCGTCTTTACATTTTTTTCTGTTTTTCTTCTTTCATATTCTTTATTTTATCTTTATTTTTTTATAAATAATTAATATAAAATATTAACGTAACTTAATTATGACCATTCAAATAAAAAGAAGGAAGAGAAGAAAAATAAAATGGAAGAGAATCTTATTATGTTGCTCTCAGTTGTTGCAGGAAATGCCCACGCAGATGAAAACTACTCCATAAATTTCAAGTAACGTGGATATTTTGAGTAACCTGGTTAGAACTTCCGATCAAAATAAAAAAATTTTATCTGGCAAATAAGAATAAAAAGTTGTAATAATGGTATCTAAAAATCATTGCTCTATATTACAAATTCAAAAAAAATACTTACAAATTTTTTGTTCAAAAACTAAATATCCACTTTGATCAATCCTCTAATTGTTTTCTAACCAGATTGTAGGTGGTTGGTTCTATCTTACAACGATTTTCATCCAACAACTTCTGGGTTGAAATTTCTACTCAAAGAAGTTAACTATGTTGATACGTTTTGCTTCTGAGTAATTAAAGAGGTTGTTCCGCCACTTTCTGCTACACCAATGTAAATTATGGAAGTATTTTTGTTCACCACTATTTATTGTAGTGCATATTCATCATTCTATTTATTACTGTTAGATGTATTTGAATTTCGAGATTAAAGTAGCGGATATGGATAAATTTTAAAATTCAAACTCATCTAATGATGATAAATAAGGTAATGAGTATACACTACAATAAATGATGATAAGGAAAAATGCACTCCGTAAACTATACAGCAAGCTGTGCCAACATTTATTGACCATTATTTTCATTTATTTACTTTTGAAAAATGGGTAAGATCTAACAAATGCTAGACATACTTTAATTAAATTGCAAAAGAAAATAAATACTATCGCCCCAAGAAAATGAAATAAAAATAGGAACATAGATTGAGGAAATGATCATGACCCTCTTAAGTCAGAGATGGTTGGGCCAGTAGGACATCCTAGTCGTTAGAATTTAACTCTGAAAATTAAAAACCCACCCCTACCGATTCTTCTTTTTCGAGTTTTGTGTTGCATTTCCACATGAATAAATCATGTAACACGTATTTGTATCCTTGTTTATACTTTTTTTTTAATAGAAGTACAATTTTTAACACAAGTAAGTTTTATCGTTATTAGAAACATAATACATATGATAATACAAATAAATTGTAAAAGTAGTTTTTTTATTTTTCACCATCATAATATGCGAGTTGGTGTAAATATTATTTTATTATGAAAATGACCATTTCTGAGTTAATATTTTATACCGCAATAGTTGAATATTTTTTAAAGTAAATCATACTCCTCTAATTTAATAAGAAGGAAATCACGATTGAATTTCTCCTCTATTTTCCTTCTCGTCTCTCTATCTACAACATGAGTAATGTTTTACTGTATCCGAGTCAAATAATAATTGGTAAAACTATTTTAATCTGTATACACAATAAATATAATATAACTTTCTAGATGCATAAAATGGAATGAGAATTTAAAATCAGTCAGTTTCCAGGTCCTCACTTGATCTCCAGCTATAAATATACCCCCACAGTGCTCTTCCAACCCATCATCATCAACAAACCCAACGCATAAAAGTTCACAGAACCCCATTTCTCTCTCACAAAAAGGAAATGGAAGAAGCGTTTAGAAGAATGAACGGGTTCTCTCATGCATCCGAACCCGACTTGATCACTGACCCTCCAAGCAAGTCAACAACCGCCGCCACCAACAAGCGTGCGCTGAGAGACACGGCGGCAGCCGCTGCCTCGGGCGCAATGAGATACCGCGGCGTGCGACGCAGGCCTTGGGGTCGTTACGCGGCGGAGATCAGAGACCCGCAGTCCAAAGAACGACGCTGGCTTGGGACCTTCGACACGGCAGAGGAAGCCGCCTGCGCCTACGACTGCGCCGCTCGTGCCATGCGCGGTGTCAAGGCGCGGACCAACTTCGTCTACTCTTCTTCCCCGCCTACCGACGTCGTCGCTGACCATCCTTTCCCTCATTTCAGCTTCCACAAGCATTCTCACCCGTCTGCCAAAACCCGTAACGGCTACGGTGGCGCCAACCACTCTCCTAGTTGGAATTCCGTACCGTTCTCGCAGTATCCATCTCCTAATCAGAACGACGGCTACGGCGGCGCTCCCACTCCTGCTGCAACATCTTTCAACATGCCCTTCCTCCAGAATTTCATGAAATATTCCTCACCAAACCCATCTCCCGTTTACAATAACCAGTTTCCGTACAATATCAACGGCTCTTCTTCAGCATCTTTGGTCAACACCACCTCTTACGGTCAACGCCATGAAACCAACATCCCCGGAAGTACTAAGTTCCCTATTGGTTCATCTTCTTCCATGGCTACTGCTCCTACTTCTACTACTACAACTCTTCCCTTCATAGATATTACTTCACCTCCTCCCACAAAACCCACCTCCCACGACTATCAACACGACTACTCCTCAGACTTCTTCCCCACGGAGCCGGCGTATTCCGGGCTGTTAGAGGAGGTGATCCATCGCTTCTTCCCAAAACCCACCAAAAAATCATCAAACGACGATCCCATATCGACTCAAGACTACGGCCATCCTTCCAGTTCCATTCAAACGGCTTGCTTTGACGGGTCTTCAACGAGGACAGTCGGAGGGTACTCAAAAAATGAGCAGAGTCAGGTAAATGTTTGTTACAATTTCCACGAGCTGCTGCCGCTGCCTCAGCCGCAGCAGCAGCAAGGAAACAGTCTCAACGGACTAATGGATCATCACCAACAGCAAGTGTCACAGCCACAGGCAGCACCGGTCTACAACGATCACGTGCCGTTCAACTTCCAGATGGGTGGCGGCGCAGATCACTCCATGGGAATGGATAACATGTTTCAATACCCTGAGTTTATGGGTGGGTTCGCAGCCAGGGTCCAGAACTAATAATAATTCCTAGCTTCCCTAAAATGCTCTCATATGATAAGGTAGCTTTATAAGATAGCTACATAAAAGGGAAAAAAAATGGTATGGATCTAACCAGTTTGCATGTAATCTTTATCGTGTTCTTCCCATTTGAACTTAGGGTTTCTGTCTTTAATTCTTATTTTTAAGAAGGTTGGCGGAAACTGTTTCTGTTTTTAGTTTTTAGTTAGTCATGAGGAACAGAAAGGAAGAGAAAAAAAAGATTGTATTGTCGTCGTATTTTGATTACATAATCGATATAAATAACTGTATGCATAATCTGGGTTTCTAATTATTTACATTTTAGTTTTGGAAATTTGTCTCGTTATAATTTTGCTTTTGTTTATCTGAACTGTGATAATAATTGTTCGGTTGGCTTTACAGTGGTACGGTTTGACCTTGAAAATCTGGCACCTTGCAAGGCCATCATTCGACTTTTCGGTTCTATCTTGATTCCTCTCTAATTGTCGATACCTAAATATTTGATGAGCTCCGTATCCAATTTTCTTGGACTCAACAAGCAACTAGTGCTAGCTTCTAAAAAATAAATAAATATAAAAAATTAAAAGTGAAGTTGCATTAGCTGGAATGAGTTTAATCAAGTTCTCCCTGCTCCAATGTCCAAATTGTTAGTATACAAAATATATATATATATATATATTGAGTTGCATTTGCCTTGCATGGCATAAAAATGTTGCACAAGTTTGTTTCAGGACAAAGTTTTTCTTTCCTCTTGATTTTGGATAAAGTTTGGAGTTTTAATATATAATCAATACTCATTATAAACTCTTGCATGGTTACATCCTTCACCGATGTGAAACTTTATCCTTACATTTTCACACGTTTCTTCACGTGATATATTTTCAAGCCTAACACGTGAACAATACAAATTGAATGATTTGGAGCACGTATGGACCTTGGGTTTCACACGTGGGTCAATTTAATATGGTATTATGAATAAAGTTGGGATTCCACGATAAGAATAGTTGACGATATAGGGAATAGCCAAACTACTTATAAGCACTTGCATGGTGGTTTGGTCCCCCACCGATGTGGGATTTTGATTTCATGAAGGAACTTGTGGTTCTACCATAAAACTAATTGACAATATAGAGATACCGATATAAAACTTTGTCTCCACATTCTTATAATTTTTTATGGTATTCAGTATGCTGGCCGATGGCAGGAGGATAGTAGTGCCTCCTTCGAGTCCAGATCGGCCAAGGGTGTTAGGAGAGATGATTTTCGCGTCTCATTTTTATTTCCTCTGCATATCATCTAGTGTCTTTAATTTGGTTTCCTCACACATTTTTGAAGTTCATTGAGACATCGAGTAACCTAAAAACAATTTTCACGAACTCCAAAAAGAGAGAAAAAAAATAATCCATGCAAACACAAGAAATATATAATTGATTCAAATTATATGTTTTTGAGTTTGTTAAATTTCTTAGGTTTTATTTCAAACCTAGAAACGTGTATTTGGCACCTCCCTGATGAAAGTGAATCAAGGGATCCTACGAACATCAGGTGACATGTGGGACACCCTTAAAAAAAGTTTTATAATGAAACACTCATAGTATTGATCACTTTAACGAAAAACCATATTTTTACTCTAAAAAGTCACTTTTGGTACTATTGATTTACAACACCTTTTTATTATTTTCATTAAAACTCAAAGTTTTCAAACTCTTTTCGTTAGTTTTCCTTAAAAAAAATTGATCTTTATTAATATTTTAAAGGATAATACTTGTGTTCTTCTATTTACAATTAAAGTAGGATTTTTTTTTTCCAATTTCCATTCTCTTTAGTCCACTTCTTTTGAAGGATTGCGATTAAATCACCTCAACATCTTGTATTCACTTCTTTAGAGTTAGAGAGGAGATAATATCTCTCTCTTACGATTAGCGAATGTTTACTGTCCAAACATCATAATCAGAACTGTTCATTCTCTTTGTCATTATCAAAATATCATATGTGCAAAAAAATCATTTGATTTGGAGATTGTTTAGTCATCTATACGTGTTAACGGTTTTAGTAACAAATAACATTATCATGTGAACCATTTACTTGTTTTTATGCGTATGAATGGAGAAACGAACTCAAAATTGAATATTTATTGTAAATCCAATCTTTAGATGATAATAAAAATAATGAACGATTGTAATTATAGTCTTCAGATGATTAAAAAAACATTAATTGTAAGTGAGTACACAAGTAAAACCCCATAAAGAGGACACAAACATTATCTACTTTAAATTAGGGATGAACCGACCACCACTGCCCAAGTTTTCAATACTTGCTGTGTTGTTTAGGCACATGAATAAGGTAGCATGCACAAGATATGTGGTCCTCCTAGCCCTAGCATTTTAATTTTGTATCTAGAGTTTAATGCCTGCGAAAAATAATGCAAGCCCCTTTCTCCTCGGCTAACAAAAGCTTGCACTGAGAATGCTATCCAAAGTATATCTATTTCCCAAGGAGGACCCACCATTTCTCATATATTATTTGCAGATGATTCCCTCTTTTTCTTAAGAGATGCACTATACACACACCCTATTTTATTTTTCACACATCTTTTGATAATTTCTGTCCGTTGATCTTCTTAATTTCATCTTATCCGATGGTCGAAAATTAAAAATATGTATGAAAAGTAAAATGGGATGTGTGGATATGACACCTCTTTCTTAAAAGCCACCCCACAAAACTGCCAAGCCTTTATCCAATCCTCAATACCTATCGTGAAGCCTCGGGACAAAAGATCAACTACAATAAATCCACCTTGTTCTTTTCTGCAAACACTCCACAGCATGCCAGAGATGAGATTGGAGCGGTCTTAAATATGATTGACTCCCCGGACCCGGGGAAGTATCTTGGCTTGCCTACAATCTGGGGCCGTTCAAAAAAAGAAGCTTTGGCCTTTGTCAAAAATCGTGTTCAGCAGAAAATACAATAGTTAATATGAAATTATTAATATACTCTTTAATACACATTATACTTTTGTATTAAAATTAATCTCAATAAATGGCAGTTAAATCCCTTTCCATTGCAAGTTCAAAGCCACACCGTGACCTAATTCGCCCACCCCCACCACCACTACCCCACAGGTGGCGCTGCGAATCCGGAAAAGCCTGCCCTCCCCACACCACCCTGGTTCAAGATCTGGTGGTGGGTAAAAGTTCTGCAACGAATAAAACGCAAGTCCACATCAACCGTGAAAATCAATCACACTTTAAATAAATAGCTCTCTCGTTGAAATCACACCCAAAAGAACAAATGAAAACCAAAAAGTTCAAATTGATCATACACCCATTAACCCATAACTTTGAAAATCAAAAGATTGAAAACAAAATATAAGATTGCTAGAGGAGGAATTGTATACTGTACACACAAATGTGGGGGTGAGGTGGTGAGAGAAGGTTGCAGCCGCCAGCGTGTGGTGGTCGGGTTGGAGGACTGAGTAATGGGATAGGATAGCTGCTAGGTTACGTGCATTTGTTTTTTCAACTTTTAATTTAATTTACATTTGATTTGAGTTTTTTTTATCTGTTTTCAAGCTCTTCTTTTTATCTCTCAGTTTCTATTCTAAGGGTATATCTGTATTTTTATATCAACTTTTGGTTATAATTATTGTAAATTTAAAATAATAGTTATAATTCTATATGAGGTTTAAATTAGTTAGTGTTCAAAATTTCCTATCAAAAGTTAAGAATGAATCTCATATTGATAGGAGAAGAGATCTTGTATGAGCTTATAAGTAAATTGGATTACTCTTCATATTGCCAATTAAGTTTATGGTTGAACCCAACTTCCTTCTTGGTATTTAGAGCAGGTTGTCATACGTACGAATCTCAATGGCCATACGTGGTCACTCCTTTGTATTGTTCACTTGTAAAACTTGAAAATTCACCAAATATGATAGGGCGTGTTGAAAATGGATCACATATTAATGAGAGAAATGATCTGTATAGGCTTATAAGTAAGTTGAGTTACTCCCTAACTTGCCAATTAGTTTTATGATAGAACCTTAACTTTCTTTAAACCTTTTTTTATCCGAAACAACAATGGTATTTCATTAAAAGTTAAAACACGATTGCAAAAAGGTTGCCGAACTAGGTGCATTTCTCTAGTGACTACATTTTTGATCTGGAGAGAGTAACGCACAACACATAAATCACCAACATGGCCACCACAAACAACACAAAACAAAAAAACCGTCAGTGCAAATTCACCACAATAGATCAGTGGTGACAGATTCGAGGAACACAAAAAATCATCACAAAAGTGAGGCCACACAACTGCTAGGCGGCACAAATAAACACAAATTGCAACTAAGCCAAGAAGAGCTAATGCCGACCAAAGCCATGGCAAGGAGAGATTTTTCAGTTCGACCGAAATACGGAGTATGCATATATACATAGAATGTGTCGATTTGGTATTTCTGTGTTAATTATTATTTTTTTTATTTTTATTTTATGTGAGGACAGTGATTTGAACTTGGAGCTTTTTTTTTTTTTTTTTGAGCAAACAATATTATTTACACCAAGGGGATGCTCACAATGGGTTAGCAATAATGTAGTTCAAATTTGTCTTTGGTGAAAATCGAACCTAAGACCTCTCACTTACAAGTGAAGATGAATATTTCTAAGTTCTAACTGTAATACCAAGTAGCAACTTGGAGCCTCTTTGAATATTAAAAAAAAAAAAGTGAATAGTGAGAGTACTTTCACACATGATTTTTAGCCATGGAAATGTGTGCCAAAACCAACCCTAAACACCCTCCGCCCATTTTTGTCAAGCCTTGATAATTTCGGCCCAAGGCAATTCTAACCCTAAACCCAACACGCTTTGGCTAACTTCAGGCTAGATCCTTTTTTCCCCCTTTTTTTTTTTTTTTTTTTTTGGTTTTACATGCTTGGCAAGCGGGTGGTCCAACAGTGAAGCAGGAGAAATTTTTCTTTGTGATGGAAACACATATGTTACATCACTTATTTTTATAAAATTGGTGGAACATTTTATTTTTAAAGTTATTAGCTTTTTAGCACATATATCATACCATTTATATAAAGACACGTAATGTAATACTCTGTGTACCGATCACATTAAAAAACCTCTACTGAAGTAGCACGTGAGCCCATGGCAACGGTCAACAATGCAAATAACGCGGTTCTATGAAACAAGGGAGAGTTCTAACATTTTGATTCCAATGATCCCTTTAATTCAACGGTCACA